CAATAGTTTGATGGAAAAGTAGCAACTGACAAACGATTGGTAGATATAAAGTATTAATTCTAATATATAACGCATACATAGACTTCTTCGCTTGTGCTACAAGATTTGCCTTCACTGCAGCGAAGTTTCCAGACTTTTTAAAAATAACAATCAGTTATTTCTAACAACCTCCATCTCGACATTTTCTCCATTAAAAAACGGTTATTCGATCTGCCTCTGCTATTTAAGATTACAAATTTTGTTTTATTAACATTCACATTTAATTTAAAGTCTTCACAGTACTTAGCAAAACTATTTATATTTTTCTATAGGTCATCTGCATTTTTTGCAACTGCAATAGTATTATCGGTATAACACATGGCAATGATATTTATACACAAATCTAGCATTTCACTTTCACTTAAATCAACACGTTTACAGCTTTCTTATAATAAAAAAAAGCTCTCTAAGTCGTTTAAAAACAGTGAAAAGAACAAAAGAGATAGATTTCTCCCTTTTCTAACATTCTCTCATGGAAAAAATGGAGATACAATGTTGTTTAGCTTGATAAAAGATTAATACCTTGTTACATATTAAAAATCAAATTGAAAAATTTACCATTTATGCCACCTCTAAGTTGCTTATTTCCGAGTCCTATACGCCGAATTGTGTCAAATACCTTAGAAAAATCTATAAACGCACAGAATAAATTCTGTTTTCGAGATTTCAAATCACGAGAACATGCATACATGACAATAATTTGTTTGTCACTGTCTACCGCTTCAAATTTCTCGTTCTCTCTTGTAGCACTGTTCAAATCACGCGAATATACATACAGGTCATTAACGTTAACCTTAGTCCGTTTGTTACTTTTGTTCGTTTTGTTTCGGGTCCATTGTTCTCATTACACGTAATTCGTTAACCATTGTCTCTTTGTGATTTGTTTATATGTTTGTTTGTGTTGTTTACTAAATGCTTGTAAAATCCGTTTATTGGTTTCACTTTTATTTTTCTTTTCTTTGCCATATGCTAATGTTTCCGTTTTTACACTTTGCTCCCAACATGGCTTTATTTTTCGCTTTAATACCGATGTATTGGCGTGTGATGTGTATGATTTTCACCTGTCCTTCTACTAATGATCAGCCAACTGTCGGCTGTGACGTCACAAGTTCAACGACTGGAAGCGGTGGCCACGGAGGGAATATGCGAGTTTGAGAGCAGAGCTCTATGCCATGCAACGTCAGGTTACAAATGAACGTTTTTCTATTTTTTTTTTTTTTTTTTTTTGTTTGTTTTTTTTTGTTTCTTGTCTTTTTTTTTTTTTTTTTTCTAATATAGATTTGAGGAATAACATAATTCTGAGGATAACATGATGAAGACGACGAAGAACTACATGAAATTTTCCAGAAGTGGTCAACTTAAACACAATTTATATGTGATAACATTCACTATCATGGAAATACGCAAGCATGTACAAATGTACAAATATTCTTTCTATCAAGATCAAAATCTGTTACTAGACTTCGTGGAGGACTGTGCATGTCTGAAGATATTTGAATTAAGGTCTGCGGTAAGATGAGGATTTTCGAACGACATTGTATCCAAATCACACGCAACATTCAAGGTAGTGAAATTTTAGATCAAAACATTTCTTTAAATTGTATAAAGATGACAATATAAAAAGTAACGAAAGATGTTTTCACAAAGGATCACCACAAGTACACGAAGCATTATCTAAATTGACTAGTGAGTGTGATTACAACCATGCAGACGACTCAAGGGTAACGAAGCATGGAAGTATGGTATACAATTCCTGAGCACAATTGAGGAATTTGCCGTACGTATTTCATGTCAGAATTTCCGAATTCCACAGCAGTATATCGTGGTAACACTTCGGTTCAAAAATACAAAAATGTATCAGTACTTTCGAAATAAATTCAAAGTTGGCGTATGCTGTTTTTTATTAATGATAAGAAGTATGATATATTCACGGCAAAATTTAATATACGTACTCTGTAATATGTTTTAAACACCAATACGACAATATTGTTGAAAGATTAATAAAAGCAGCTTGTTAATACATCGTGGTTTTAATACTTATTCACTTTAATACTTACTGACTTCTTCCTAATACGAATACCCGCAATCAGTGTTTCGCCATTAATACCAAAACTTGGCTCTATCACTCTGTATGCTGTTGGACGGTGATAAGATTACGAAGGAATGTTTGAGGTAACAATATCAAAGTACTGAAAGTTCTGAGAGTTGAATAGGATGAAAATAATATTCTGTAGGCAATGTCCGTTGCGTTTAATAATTTCTTTTTATCTGGGTCATGTTCGTTCATCAAGATAAGATATTATCAGAAACGGTTAATTTTGATTTTTGACGTAGATTTTCATAGTCTAACCTCTATAACCCTCGCTTTATATCGATCATTACTTTCCTTGGAACATTGGATATCTATGTCTTTGGACGTCTTGGTAAAGAGTTCCATCTGATCAAACCTTGCAGCCCATTATAACTAGTGCAGACCTTTTGGTAAAAAGAAAGTTTGCTTTAAAATTTAGATATATTTGATCATAGGGACCTAAAAGTCAGTCAAGGTACTGTAGCTGTTCGTCAGACCGTGCTTCAGATAAGATATTACCATATTGACCTAATGACTTTAAAAGTTGGAAAAAATCATTCTTGTATCCAAACATACCACTGGCCAAGCAAAATCATTTTGGGCCTTTTGATGACATAAAATCACGTGTTTATAAATATTATTATTGTTTATTCTTGTGAAATTTAAAGTGCACGTGGGTAAAGGTCAAGTGTCTGAACAAATTTGGTAATGAGCTAAAAATCAACGATACAGTTCGGTCAAAATGTTTCAGAAAATAAGACTAATCCAGGAAGATTGTAAATCTTTATTTGGAATAAATGGTACGTGTATATTTAATACAAAACAAGCCTTCGGCTAAGTACAGCACCTAGACTGGGATTCTTGATCAACACGAGACCGTGGCTTTGTCTAATCAGGCGATTTGATAATTTAACTGAAATATGGTTAATACGACAATGAATAGGCACTTTGTCTTGTTAACTTCGACTTTTGACATGTGGGCAGCGAACATAAAACAAAGGTGTGTATTTTAATCGGTTTGTGTAAAGGACAAATATGGATACAGCAATTTGATATTTACTTATGTAAAATAACCAATTTACCATACCTGTAATGTTCAATATAACAATAAAAATTATTTAACAGTACACCAAGCATTATTTCAGTATTTTTATGATGAAAAATGTTAAGGAAACTGATAGCAAGCGAAATAAAATCTCAGAGTGAGTACAGCCAGGACAGACACGTGAATAATAGCTTTTGATAATTTGGAGTAAGAGAAACCAAACAATGAATTAAACTGCATCATACATCTCTTCTGTCCTTCTAGGACCCGTCTATGATGCTAAGGGCCTAAATTTTGAGCCTGGGAGGCGAATAAGAAAAATCCAAAGTGATCGTAAGAAAAGGCAAAATCTCGACGGGGAGGTGCAGCAACCCCATAATTAAATACATTTCGCAATATTCATATATCGAATTATTTTAAAACAGGGTCAAGTACATGAGTATTTTCTTAACCGCGCCACTGTTCGAATGAATCAAAACCATGCATGCAGGTTACGGGAAAACCTCGAGGACTTTAAGTCCACCATCAGTGTCTACCACCTGAGAATGGACAGGGAAATAGAGGGGAGGGTTGCTGTCGCTGTACATACGAAGATTAAGCCCCAAGTAGTATAACGGGGAGGGAGAGGAGGGTTGTAAATAATGTAAGGAGTGGGTCGCCTACAACTGTTGTTGGAAAGCCAGGACGACTCCGTATAGTATAGTATACTAACCAAAAAACCAAAAAAATAAATCTCCATAAAATAAAAATTTCCCAATAAGGTTGGCATCTCCTAGAAACAACACTATATAATTAAAATATATCTTATAATACTTTAACAGGATATTTACCTGACATCAACGATACCAGGTTCTATACAACAAGATAAATCTGTCACCAAGTATCCTTGAACCTTTACAAGGCATTAACGATACCAGGTCCAATATAACAAGATATAAGTGTTACCAAGTATCCCTGAATATTTACCGGGCATTAACGATACCAGGTCCAATATAACAAGATTAAACTGTCACCAAGTATCCCTGAATATTTACCGGGCATTAACGATACCAGGTTCTATACAACAAGATAAATCTGTCACCAAGTATCCTTGAACCTTTACAAGGCATGAACGATACCAGGTCAAATATAACAAAATATAAGTGTTACCAAGTATCCCTGAATATTTACCGGGCATTAATGATACCAGGTCCAATATAACAAAATATAAGTGTTACCAAGTATCCCTGAATATTTACCGGGCATTAATGATACCAGGTTAAACACAAGAAGATGAATATGTCACCAAGTATTCTTGACATTTACCGGGCATTAACGATACCAGGTCCAATATAACAAGATTAAACTGTCACCAAGTATCCTTGAACCTTTACAAGGCATTAACGATACCAGGTCCAATATAACAAGATATAAGTGTTACCAAGTATTCCTGAATATTTACCGGGCATTAACGATACCAGGTCCAATATAACAAGATTAAACTGTCACCAAGTATCCCTGAACATTTACAAGGCATTAACGATACCAGGTCCAATATAACAAGATTAAACTGTCACCAAGTATCCGTGAACATTTACCGGGCATTAACGACACCAGGTTCAACACAACAAAATTAAACTGTCACCAAGTATCCTTGAACATTTACAAGGCATTAACGACACCTGATTCAACAAGTAAACCCTCATATTTATCCATTATCACGCGAAAGTAGAATTATTACAATATAATGAAAATACAAATGATTTGAGTTCCAACTAAAATTAAATATGAACTGTTCAATGGCCACAACACTCCAATGAATTGTATTAACCATCGATGTTAGGGATAGGAATGTCTCTAGTGTTTTTACAGTGTTGTGTCACTGCCATCCAACCTCTTTTCTTCGGCGAGTACAGCCTCAACGCCTTTGATCATTTCTCGAACAACCTGGATCTCGGTTAAACCCAGTCTTCTCTTGTTGGAGATGTCGTAAACATCACCAACCATTTCCGTGTGCACTCCATTGACTCCTAAATATGTATAAATATACCATTTCAATGAGGATAATTAAAGCACAGAAAAATCTAGTTCAATACCAGGAAATATTGTATACTTCTTAATATTTTATTTGTATGTAGAATTGTATCATAATTTGACCAATCAGAGCGGGTTTTCCCCCCATTAACTTTCTGTTTAGCTGTTTGATCACATCAAAGCAACAGGCTTAAATTTTACCGCTGTTACAACTTCATTGTGCCAGGATTTTCCTAATACCAAATTTACGAACTATCTTAACTCGTATTTGGCATTGCTTGGTGCCGGTGTATAATGACATAGCGCTTTACAAAGAGCTGGCGTTGCATTACTTTGGATGGGATTCGTGAAATATATTGGAACTCGACAGGATGTTATCAAACATTGTGATTCATGTTTTTTTTACATATAATCTGGATGAAGATTGATTAGGTGTCACCAAAATGGCTATTTTAAAAAAAAATAACTGAAAACGTGAGCCTGATATTTTCATCCACTCACGCCATTCTGATTTAACAAGGGAACTACTGACCTCTTACTTGCAGGTGATATTTTTCTAAGAAATCATGGAAATACGGTTGGCCCGCAAGACATGGTATTTTGATATGTACACTGGCCCTCAGTGTGGTACCGAGATTGGAGGGACAGTACGTTAGGTAGCCCATGTTGGGGTGGTGGGCGAACTTCAGGTCAGTATTCTCGTCAACAAATTTCAGGGCCTGAAATAAAGTGCCTCATTTTAGTATTCAACACGATTAATATTGTGTATTATTTAATGCGCTATTAATAGTACAAAACGAAACTTTCCTCTATCTATACCCTATATCTATAGTACGTATGTGGGGATTCCCCCAAATCATCTACATCGTGCGTTGGTAACCCACTTGAGAACATGTAACCTGTTTTACCACGTGAATGAAATGGGTAATACAATATATAATATATATGTTTATATTATATGCAAAAATACAAAATGAATATTGTCCTCTTTTTACTGTTTACATCCTATTTCTACAGTACATAAATGGGATTCTCCCTAACCATTTACAGAGTGCATTGTTGACCCACTTGAGAAATATTGAACCGGGAAATAATTCATTACTGTATTAATCCTACCTGCAAGACTGCACAAAATCGATGGAATTTTGATTTCACGTATTCAGGAAAAACAGAACAGTACTATTACAAATTCATTGAATGTAAGAGATATATCATTAAGTTAAGTGAAATAGCCAAGAAATGAAACACATGGACATACAATATTTAATTTCAGAATTACTGATTTAAGTTTGTACTTCCGAATATAGCAATCAAAGTGCAGTGTATGCAGTTATTCGTTCACTGTAGACAGCAAGCATCAAGGGAAGTCTGATATCATCTGACGGTCCGGGTGTTCTCCCGGAATTCAAAAGTCCTGTCAGAAACGAAAATCAAAAACAGCAAAAACAACATCATATCACACAACTCATTCAAAACGTACCCTTAAGGAATCAGAGAAGATAGATTTGTTGACTTTAATAAATTTTGAATTTGTTTAATGCTGGGGAATTCTGGAAACCGAACACGACTGTTACCAACTGGTAATTAAGGATGATGAAACTCGTGTTTGACCGGAAGTAGGACAGAGTTCAATGTAAAATTAATTTCAACGTAGTATCTTAAACTTTTGTGTCTATATATTCCTCGCTATGTGTAGTTGTATCTATACCAGACAAAGCTGAGTGAAAATATGACGACTTGTAGAATGTTTAATTGTGGACTACATTTCGTAACAGCGTAGTTGATTGACGCCGTAATTCGGTTTTTAGTGGCAACAATTTCAACTACATACATGGGATGCTGTAGTGAGTTGGAAGAGTTCTGGTTTCATATACTTGCAAATGATAGACAATGAAACTTGTGTTTTACCTTTTATATTATACATGTGATAAGATAAAGATGTATTATAATACCTTAATCATGCTTCACAAACTTTTCTACACAAGGACTATAATAATAATTTCTGATGCAAATTGTAGGTACTGGTATGGCGTAAGTTGTACAGTGTTTAACTTGTGCCCGTTTCCTTTTGAAATATTTTCAAATGAATATTATCAAACTAAAATATTAACGTTTTTCCACACTAGGGTACTTTTCTCGAGTATAATTTTGCAAGCTCTGTGTATAATTCAAAACAATTTTGCCAAATCACTCTCTTGATTTTTTAGAGTCCCAAAATTAATATTTCAGATTGTTTCTTGACAATGGAAATGGATGTTTGGGTACAAAAAGTAAAAAATAATTACAGAGACTCTTTTTAATAATAAAAATGATAACCATATATTTTTCTATCAAAGTATAAAGTCATGAAAAAAGTTAAATTTCAGAACATTGACAAACAACGGACATTGACAAACAACGGACTGAATAAAGTTTTCAAAATTAACAATTTCTGGTTGCTATGGAGTTTTTGAGCCCTTATTTTCATATTATTTCAGAATCATTCTGTTGCGTTTTAATAGAAAAAGATGTGGTAGAAAAAGACCCCGTCAATCGAAAATAAGTAAGAACGCTCATTATTAACGATAAATAACTAATTATTCCCATTATGCATATTCTGACGCCTGTGACGGTAAAAGAAACGCAGCATAATAATGTTTTTCATTTATTCATTTATTTATTTATTTATCTATCTATTGATTATTATTTTTTTCGGCTTTTTGGTTTTTCTTTTTACTATCATTTAATATTTCGAAACCAGAGCAAACGTTAAAACGTTAATTTCTATGAAACTACCAGCTAATATCTCTAACTAGTCTTCTATCAGTCACAAACTACCAGCTAATATCTCTAACTAGTCTTCTATCAGTCACAAACTACCAGCTAATATCTCTAACTAGTCTTCTATCAGTCACAAACTACCAGCTCATATCTCTAACTAGTCTTCTATCAGTCACAAACTACCAGCAAATATCTCTAACTAGTCTTCTATCAGTCACAAACTACCAGATAATATCTCTAACTAATATCTCTAATATCTCTAACTAGTCTTCTTCTATCAGCTAATATATCACTTCTACAGTCACAAACTACCAGCTAATATCTCTAACTAGTCTTCTATCAGTCACAAACTATCTAGTCTTCTATCAGTCACAAACTACCAGCTAATATCTCTAACTAGTCTTCTATCAGTCACAAACTACCAGATAATATCTCTAACTAGTCTTCTATCAGTCACAAACTACCAGCTAATATCTCTAACTAGTCTTCTATCAGTCACAAACTACCAGTCTTCTATCAGTCACAAACTACCAGATAATATCTCTAACTAGTCTTCTATCAGTCACAAACTACCAGATAATATCTCTAACTAGTCTTCTATCAGTCACAAACTACCAGCTAATATCTCTAACTAGTCTCCTATCAGTCACAAACTACCAGCTAATATCTCTAACTAGTCTCCTATCAGTCACAAACTACCAGCTAATATCTCTAACTAGTCTTCTATCAGTCACAAACTACCAGCTAATATCTCTAACTAGTCTTCTATCAGTCACAAACTACCAGATAATATCTCTAACTAGTCTTCTATCAGTCACAAACTACAGATAATATCTAATATCTCTAACTAATATCTCTAGTCTTCTATCAGTCACAAACTACCAGCTAATATCACAAACTATCAGTCACAAACTACCAGCTAATATCTCTAACTAGTCTTCTATCAGTCACAAACTATCTAATATCTCTAACTAGTCTTCTATCAGTCACAAACTACCAGCTAATATTTCTAAATATCAAACTACCAGCTAATATCTCTAACTAGTCTTCTATCAGTCACAAACTACCAGCTAATATCTCTAACTAGTCTTCTATCAGTCACAAACTACCAGCTAATATCTCTAACTAGTCTTCTATCAGTCACAAACTATCAGCTAATATCTCTAACTAGTCTTCTATCAGTCACAAACTACCAGCTAATATCTCTAACTATTCTTCTATCAGTCACAAACTACCAGCTAATATCTCTAACTAGTCTTCTATCAGTCACAAACTACCAGCTAATATCTCTAACTAGTCTTCTATCAGTCACAAACTACCAGAATTTTCTTTTTTGGTCTTCTATCAGTCACAAACTACCAGAATTTTCTTTTTTGGTCTACTATCAGTCACAAACTACCAGATGGTCTTCTATCTCACAAACTACCAGAATTTTCTTTTTTGGTCTCTATCAGTCACAAACTACCAGAATTTTCTTTTTTGGTCTTCTATCAGTCACAAACTACCAGCTAATATCTCTAACTAGTCTTCTATCAGTCACAAACTACCAGCTAATATCTCTAGCTATCTTTCAGTCACAAACTACCAAAAGTCTTCTATCAGTCACAAACTACCAGCTAATATCTCTAATATCTCTAACTAGTCTTCTATCAGTCACAAACTACCAGCTAATATCTCTAACTAGTCTTCTATCAGTCACAAACTACCAGCTAATATCTCTAACTAGTCTTCTATCAGTCACAAACTACCAGCTAATATCTCTAACTAGTCTTCTATCAGTCACAAACTACCAGCTAATATCTCTAACTAGTCTTCTATCAGTCACAAACTACCAGCTAATATCTCTAACTAGTCTTCTATCAGTCACAAACTACCAGCTAATATCTCTAACTAGTCTTCTATCAGTCACAAACTACCAGCTAATATCTCTAACTAGTCTTCTATCAGTCACAAACTACCAGCTAATATCTCTAACTAGTCTTCTATCAGTCACAAACTACCAGCTAATATCTCTAACTAGTCTTCTATCAGTCACAAACTACCAGCTAATATCTCTAACTAGTCTTCTATCAGTCACAAACTACCAGCTAATATCTCTAACTAGTCTTCTATCAGTCACAAACTACCAGCTAATATCTCTAACTAGTCTTCTATCAGTCACAAACTACCAGCTAATATCTCTAATATCTTCTATCAGTCACAAACTACCAGCTAATATCTCTAACTAGTCTTCTATCAGTCACAAACTACCAGCTAATATCTCTAACTAGTCTTCTATCAGTCACAAACTACCAGCTAATATCTCTAACTAGTCTTCTATCAGTCACAAACTACCAGCTAATATCTCTAACTAGTCTTCTATCAGTCACAAACTACCAGCTAATATCTCTAACTAGTCTTCTATCAGTCACAAACTACCAGCTAATATCTCTAACAGTCACAAACTAGCTAATATCTCTCTATCAGTCACAAACTACCAGCTAATATCTCTAATAGTCTTCTATCAGTCACAAACTACCAGCTAATATCTCTAACTATCTTCTATCAGTCACAAACTACCAGCTAATATCTCTAACTAGTCTTCTATCAGTCACAAACTATCAGCTAATATCTCTAACTAGTCTTCTATCAGTCACAAACTACCAGCTAATATCTCTAACTAGTCTTCTATCAGTCACAAACTACCAGCTAATATCTCTAACTAGTCTTCTATCAGTCACAAACTACCAGCTAATATCTCTAACTAGTCTTCTATCAGTCACAAACTACCAGAATTTTCTTTTTTGGTCTTCTATCAGTCACAAACTACCAGAATTTTCTTTTTTGGTCTACTATCAGTCACAAACTACCAGAATTTTCTTTTTTGGTCTTCTATCAGTCACAAACTACCAGAATTTTCTTTTTTGGTCTTCTATCAGTCACAAACTACCAGCTAATATCTCTAACTAGTCTTCTATCAGTCACAAACTACCAGCTAATATCTCTAACTAGTCTTCTTTCAGTCACAAACTACCAAAATTTTCTTTTTTGGTCTTCTATCAGTCACAAACTACCAGCTAATATCTCTAACTAGTCTTCTATCAGTCACAAACTACCAGAATTTTCTTTTTTGGTCTTCTATCAGTCACAAACTACCAGCTAATATCTCTAACTAGTCTTCTATCAGTCACAAACTACCAGAATTTTCTTTTTTGGTCTTCTATCAGTCACAAACTACCAGCTAATATCTCTAACTAGTCTTCTATCAGTCACAAACTACCAGCTAATATCTCTAACTAGTCTTCTATCAGTCACAAACTACCAGCTAATATCTCTAACTAGTCTTCTATCAGTCACAAACTACCAGTTAATATCTCTAACTAGTCTTCTTTCAGTCAAAACTACCAGCTAATATCTCTAACTATTCTTCTATCAGTCACAAACTACCAGCTAATATCTCTAACTAGTCTTCTATCAGTCACAAACTACCAGCTAATATCTCTAACTAGTCTTCTATCAGTCACAAACTACCAGAATTTTCTTTTTTGGTCTTCTATCAGTCACAAACTACCAGAATTTTCTTTTTTGGTCTACTATCAGTCACAAACTACCAGAATTTTCTTTTTTGGTCTTCTATCAGTCACAAACTACCAGAATTTTCTTTTTTGGTCTTCTATCAATCACAAACTACCAGCTAATATCTCTAACTAGTCTTCTATCAGTCACAAACTACCAGCTAATATCTCTAGCTAGTCTTCTTTCAGTCACAAACTACCAAAATATTCTTTTTTGGTCTTCTATCAGTCACAAACTACCAGCTAATATCTCTAACTAGTCTTCTATCAGTCACAAACTACCAGAATTTTCTTTTTTGGTCTTCTATCAGTCACAAACTACCAGCTAATATCTCTAACTAGTCTTCTATCAGTCACAAACTACCAGCTAATATCTCTAACTAATCTTCTATCAGTCACAAACTACCAGCTCATATCTCTAACTAGTCTTCTATCAGTCACAAACTACCAGCTAATATCTCTAACTAGTCTTCTATCAGTCACAAACTACCAGATAATATCTCTAACTAGTCTTCTATCAGTCACAAACTACCAGCTAATATCTCTAACTAGTCTTCTTTCAGTCACAAACTACCAGCTAATATCTCTAACTAGTCTTCTATCAGTCACAAACTACCAGATAATATCTCTAACTAGTCTTCTATCAGTCACAAACTACCAGCTAATATCTCTAACTAGTCTTCTATCAGTCACAAACTACCAGCTAATATCTCTAACTAGTCTTCTATCAGTCACAAACTACCAGCTAATATCTCTAACTAGTCTTCTATCAGTCACAAACTACCAGCTAATATCTCTAACTAGTCTTCTTTCAGTCACAAACTACCAGCTAATATCTCTAACTAGTCTTCTATCAGTCACAAACTACCAGCTAATATCTCTAACTAGTCTTCTATCAGTCACAAACTACCAGCTAATATCTCTAACTAGTCTTCTATCAGTCACAAACTACCAGCTAATATCTCTAACTAGTCTTCTATCAGTCACAAACTACCAGCTAATATCTCTAACTAGTCTTCTATCAGTCACAAACTACCAGCTAATATCTCTAACTAGCCTTCTATCAGTCACAAACTACCAGCTAATATCTCTAACTAGTCTTCTATCAGTCACAAACTATCAGCTAATATCTCTAACTAGTCTTCTATCAGTCACAAACTACCAGCTAATATCTCTAACTAGTCTTCTATCAGTCACAAACTACCAGCTAATATCTCTAACTAGTCTTCTATCAGTCACAAACTACCAGCTAATATCTCTAACTAGTCTTCTATCAGTCACAAACTACCAGAATTTTCTTTTTTGGTCTTCTATCAGTCACAAACTACCAGAATTTTCTTTTTTGGTCTACTATCAGTCACAAACTACCAGAATTTTCTTTTTTGGTCTTCTATCAGTCACAAACTACCAGAATTTTCTTTTTTGGTCTTCTATCAGTCACAAACTACCAGAATTTTCTTTTTTGGTCTTCTATCAGTCACAAACTACCAGCTAATATCTCTAACTAGTCTTCTATCAGTCACAAACTACCAGCTAATATCTCTAACTAGTCTTCTTTCAGTCACAAACTACCAAAATTTTCTTTTTTGGTCTTCTATCAGTCACAAACTACCAGCTAATATCTCTAACTAGTCTTCTATCAGTCACAAACTACCAGAATTTTCTTTTTTGGTCTTCTATCAGTCACAAACTACCAGCTAATATCTCTAACTAGTCTTCTATCAGTCACAAACTACCAGAATTTTCTTTTTTGGTCTTCTATCAGTCACAAACTACCAGCTAATATCTCTAACTAGTCTTCTATCAGTCACAAACTACCAGCTAATATCTCTAACTAGTCTTCTATCAGTCACAAACTACCAGCTAATATCTCTAACTAGTCTTCTATCAGTCACAAACTACCAGTTAATATCTCTAACTAGTCTTCTTTCAGTCAAAACTACCAGCTAATATCTCTAACTAGTCTTCTTTCAGTCAAAACTACCAGCTAATATCTCTAACTAGTCTTCTATCAGTCACAAACTACCAGATAATATCTTACCTGGTCATCTTTCAGTTACAAACAACCATACAATTTCTTAACTAATCTTTATCAGTCACAAACTATCAGACAATTTCTTAACTGCTCTTCCTCTGTCACAGAGTACTACAAAATCGAGATATCTACTTTGGCTAGATCGACCTTTTAGTGTACCTCTATGACGGTTAGTGAAATATTAGTCATTATAACAAAACGTTATGTATGAATGAACAAATGAAAAAAGAAACCCCGTCTGAGTATATTGTGCCCACAATGACGAAATTCTAATTCAAAATTGATACAATAGGAATAGGATAAATGGACAAGAATAATGGCCGCCAACGATGGCTTCACCACAGAGGATTATAAATGGTCGTACCGTGACCAACCGTTTATAAACGGTTCCCAAATCACTGCCCTCCTGCATAGAGATGAACCTGAGATGATCCTCTTCATTCACCCATACCAAAAAAGTCTTTGCTGGGTTGTAGAATATCCCACGTCCAATCGGCCAATCATCGTACACGTTGGCATCACCAAGAAATCTGAAATATATAAGGTTATTATTTTGCAATTTGAAACCTGTCACTAATTTTCTTTTTTCAATTACATTTGATTAAGTTTATACATTCATTTTACATGTTAAACAATATTTTTTTATTCAGTAATAAGCATTTAATTACAGACAGGTACGCATAATCTTATGGGATGGGAAAACAAGCTTAAAGCTTATATTAATTCCTTTCCCATGTACATACAAAGACAAATATAAATCGGAAATGGAACACCTAACATCGACATTGGATGAAAAAGTAATATTTGGACATAACAATAAAACATATTAACTTACGTATACGCACATGTGGTGGATAGAATTACAAAATGTAATTTACAACTTAAGTAGTGGCGCCTTAATTTATTGGTATGTAAAAAAGGTTACCTTTCAAAGCTCCATTCAGATCTATGAAACAATACATAATGTACAGTTTTATAATAAGAATTAAAGGACAAAAAATATTAGGTAAAACGTTTACTAAGCTTGATATAATTTTGCACGGTCAAGAATATTTGTTCATTTTTCTGATTAGAGTAAGTGTCGTTTCCCCATAATAGAGTTTTTTCAGTTAGAGTAATATCTAGTTGAAGTAAAGTATTTTGTCGAATTATGTTATAATTAGCACAAGACAATAAAAAATGGTGGGTACTTTCTACTAACCCGCATGAACAAAATGGACTTTCTTCCAGATTTCTTAAGTATAAATGTTGTTTGAGATTACTGCATTTAAGTCTCAATCGTGTATGTAAAATTTGAAGGTTTCTACTTCCAATATTAAAATAGTGTGGAATCATTACATTTTCTTTTTGTAAAAATCTTTTGATAATCCTGACAGACGGATTTTCGCGAATGTCGATTGGTAAAGAATTCCATAAATGTACTGAAGAATTTAAAAAAGATGTTTTATAAAACTGAGTCCTGCAATTAATTAATAGTAAATTGTTTGAATTTCTAGTATTATGTCTGTGGGTATCTGATACCTTACTTGGAATTAGACTGGATAGATAAAATGGAGTTTTCTTATGATACATTTTATGAAACTGCAAGAGTTTATGATTTTCCCGTCTTTTAGAAAGTTTTTCCCAACCCACATCTTTATACAATAAACTAACACTTGACAATTTAGTAGCACCTGTAACTATTCTTGCAGCTTCTATTTGGATGTTTTCTAAATTTTGACATAAATAATTGGGTAAATTATCCCAAACTACGTCAGAATATTCCAAAATAGGTCTGATAAAAGCAAAATATATTGTTTGGAGAGAATTCCTATCAAGTATGTTTTTTAAATTTCTTAAAACCGCTAGTCTTGGTGACACTTTCTTTAATATGTAATCAGTATGATTTTTCCATGTACCATCATCAGAAAATAACACCCCTAAATGCTTATGAGATTTTACATTAGTTACATTGACATTGTCCATAGTGATAGGATCATAAATTCCTGGTATAGTTTTTCGGCTAATTAATAAAGATTCTGTCTTGTCTGGATTAAATTTTACTAACCACTTATTTGCCCATACATGTATTTTTGAAAGATCATTATTGATGGTATTAATAGCAATCGTGGGATTTTCAACTATGATATACAAGGCTGTGTCATCAGCAAATAACTTTATTTTACAACTAATATCATTCACTATATCATTAATATATACTAAAAAGAAGAGAGGACCTAATATTGAACCTTGAGGTACACCTGCTTTGATATTTTGGGTTTCAGAGAAAATACCATTTATAACAACCCTTTGACTTCTGTCAGTTAAATAATTTTTGCACCAAGATAGCAATTTACCAGAAACGCCAGATTTTTCCAATTTATGTATAAGACCCCTGTGCCAAACCCTATCAAACGCTTTACTTATATCACAGAATACGGCAATGATTTCTTTACCCGCGTCTAAAGCCCTCCCAATATCATTTGTAATGTCTAATAATTGATTTGTTGCAGAATCCCCAGGTGTGAAGCCCGATTGACAATTTGTAAAATAATTTGTATCTCTAAAAAAATTGTAAAGATGTTTAAAAATACACCTTTCCATTAGTTTGCCAACGATACTTATCAAAGATATAGGTCTATAGTTTGAAACAACGGATTTGTCACCTTTTTTAAAAACTGGTGTAACATTAGCGACTTTCCATATAGAAGGATATATACCACAGTCGATAGATTTGTTAAACAATTTAGAAAGAATTGAAATAATAGACCCTGTCTTTGCTTCCTTAATAATTCTTGGACTCATTTTATCTGGACCAGAAGCTTTAGAAGTATCTAACTTATTTATTGCATCTTCAACATCTTGTTCAGTGATATCAATATTTTCAAGTGTATTATTAGTAGCTACATTATTTGGTAGTGTTACATTAGAGTCGTCGATAGTAGACTGGCTAATAAAGTAATTGTTAAAAAGATCTGCTTTTTGTTTACTATCACCATAATATATATCATTTTGCATTAACGTTGGTATATGAGAAGTTTTGGTTGAAAAATTTGTAAAATTGTTAATCAACTTCCACCAGTCACGTGTTGATGTAGACATACATTTTATCTTACCGGTTAACTTTAAAACATATTCATTTTTTGCTTTCCTTATAGCGTCAATACATTTATTTCTTGCCTGTCTAAATTTCTGCCAGTGATACGGATTTTGGGTACCTTTAGCTTTTCGGTGTAATCGTTTTCGATCCCTTATTAATTTTCTTACATCATTATGCATCCATAGTGGTTCATTATGCCTTATTGTTACTGTTTTATTAGGAATACATATTTTAGCAGCATCTAATATTGTGGAATTAAAAAAAATGGCAAATTCGTCAATTGATAAATTTTCAAATGGACTAATCCAGTCGATATTATTCAATCTATCCCGAAACATTTTGTAGTCACCGTTTTTATATAACCATATATGCCTTTGAATACTTGATTTCAAACTGTTACGACTAACATCTAAAAATGTATAAATAGGGCAGTGATATCTAGTCTCAGCAGGTAAAAAAGATTCTCCAACAACAACTTCCTTAATAACGCCTATATTATTTGTCATAAATATGTCTAAAAGAGAGGATGAATTTTCTGTGAAATGAGTAGGTTCATCAACAAGTTGAATAAAATTATATCGATACATTAAATCAATAATACGATTAGGGTTTGTAGCTAATTGATTTTCATTAAAATCACCTGTTATCAATATACTATCAAATTCATAATTGGCAACCATATCAATAGAAAGATCAATTAAATTCCAAATTTCATTCCCAGAGTTCGGAGGTCTATAAAAGGTTCCTAGCATAATAATTTTATTGTTAAGCTGCAGTTCTATCCAAATGCATTCTAGATTATTAATTTCAAATTCCGAACGCCGGATCGCAGTAATATTTTTATTAACATACACGGCAATACCCCCACCGATTCTATCAGACCGAGATTTTACAAAAGGGTCATGAAATTTAGAAAGAAGAAGTTCGCCGGACTTTTCTGTTGTAGGTGATAACCAAGTTTCAGTAAAGGATAAGATATCATATTGATGTAGTTCACTAAAGATTAAGTCCACTTTAGGTAAAAGGCTCTGAACGTTGTAGTGCACTAATGATAAATAATCTTGGTTAAGAATTGATAAATCTGAAAGGGATGAACTACCAGGACCCGGGTTACTTTCAATATCTCCACAACGTACGAGTAAATGTTGAAAATATATTAAATATACACTACCCATGCCAATCGACCAACTGTCAATAACACTTACAAAGTTCAAGTTGGGGTACGGTCCCCAAATATAGAGGGAGTAGTAGACAAAGGAGTAATACATAGCACACAATAATGTTCAAAACAGCATTTACATGTACATTATTAGAATATTCATTCGACTTATTTACATTACTTAAGTTTAAAGGTTTGTCTTTCATAAGCATATGAAGAAATACCATAATAGGCATCGCATTGATTTTATAAACCAAAAATAAATTGGTTGCTAAAATGATAATGAGGTCTAATTGTTTGCTCAAAGGTAACCGACTTGACCTCGCGTGATACAAACCAATAAGGACACGGTGCGAAAAACAATCAACGGGCATTATGTAATATGATATGCATAGTAGGGATATCTCCGTGTCCAAACATAGTCAGTTTGCAAAAGACGAGGTTTACGTGTTAAAAAATAGCGCCACTTCGTTACGATGTACATAGGATTTAGTCGTGAAATTACTTTACCAATATACTTAGCAAAATAGGTATCATAAGTCACCACATTGCAAAGACATAGAAAGTAACAATGGAAAAACTGGTATAACCAGGAGAAATAATTTGATTTGGATGAGAAATTCTGGTGAATTTGGCCTGCTACTAGTATTTACACAACATACAACAATGTTTATATATTACAAACTCTATACTTAAATTGAAAACTTTATCATCTCATGCCCGGACAGAATCCACCATACTGTACACCATGCACAAACAAGTCCCACATAATACACTCTAACATCACACCCTTGTAATCTAGTTTGCGTGCACAATACATCCATGCGCAAATGATATATTTATATTTATACTGCCTACTTTCAAGATAAACATATGTAAAAAACCAACATGATCAGATTCAAACACAAATATTTACAGGTAAGTACGTGATCATTTTATGAACGTAATTTGTAGTCTATAGAACGTGTGAAAATGCACGTTCATTTAGATTTTCAACTGTTAATAAATCATGGTAAGTAATATTGGATAGTGGAACAAATTCAATGCCATCACTCAATACAAATGAACGTCATTTTATATGAACATGTGACGTCGTTTAAATTGGTGCAGATAAATACATATTACCATTTTTCATGAAAACAATTTGTAATGAATAGAACGTGTATAAATGCACGTTAATTAAGGCTTTTACTGTTAATAAAACGAGGTAAGCCATATTGGACAATTGACTGGAAAAATGCATGTACTTGTGTATAGACACAAAACTCAACTGTGATCGGTCCGTAATACAAATAAACGTCATTTATATGAACATGTGACGTCATTTAAGTATATGCAGGTATAAGTACATGTTACCATTGTTCATCGCAATAATATGTAATGAACGTTAATTATGACATTGCCTGTTATGTAGAACAAGGTAAGCAATATTAATCACTGTGAGAATACACAAATGCATTGCGAACTCTTTGCATAAATGTACGTCATTTTGTATGAAAATGTGACGTCATTTAAGTTTATGCAGATATAAGTACATATTACCATTTTTCATGGAATTAATTTTTAATGAATGGAACGTGTACATATGCACGTTAATTTAGACATTGGCTGTTATATGTTTAAAACGAGGTAGACAATATTGAACATTGTGAGAATACACATAATCATTGCGATTCTTTATATAAATGAATGTCATTTTTTATGAACAAGTGACGTCGTTTAAATTGATGCAGGTACAAGTACATATGACCATTTATCATGAAAATAAAATAATTCTTAATGAATAGAACGTGTAGAAACGGACGTTAATTAAGACTTTGATTGTTAATAGAACGAGGTAAGTAATATTGGACAATTGACTGGAAAAATATATGTACATGTGTATAGACACAAAACTCAATTGTGATCACTCAATATAAATGAACGTCATTTTATATGAACATGTGACGTCGTTTAAGTTTATGCAGGCATAGGTACATATTACCATTTTGGAAATAATTAGTAATGAATATAACGTGTACAAATGCACGTTGATTTAGACATTGGCTGTTAAATAAAACGAGGTAAGTAATATTGGACACTAAAAAAATACACAAATTCATTGAAATCCCTCAATATAAATGAAAGTCAATGAAAATATTTTGTAATGAAGAGAATGTGTACAAATGCACGTTAATTTGACTGTTAATAAAACGAGGTAAGTAATATTGGATAAGTAGTAATGACTGGAAAAATGCATGTACATGTGTATATACACAAACTCAGTTGTGGTCATTCACTATAAGTGAACGTCATTTTATATGAACACGTCACGTCGTTTGAGTTTATAGGTAAGTATATTACCAATTTTTCAAGAAAGTAATTTGTAAAAAATAAAAATTGTACAAATTCACGTTGAAACATTGATTGATAATAAACGATGAGATTAATATTGGACACTGGAAAAATACGCAAATTCTTTGCGATCACTCAAGATAAATAATCATCATAGGCCATGTGAACATGTGACGTCGGTAAGTTTACAGGTAAGTATATTATCGTTTCCTTCTTAAAAGGAATTGATAATGAATAAGTGTGAACATATTCGGACTGTTGGTATAAAGAATTGATCACATGTAGGATACTCAGAAATTGACTGACATTTGAACACCTTGTGACGGAGGTTATTCGGAGGTACTGAGGACGTGGCCAAACCTACACAAATCCTTCTCCTGGAAGATCTGATGATTTCGGTCCGAATTGTCTTTAACCATCACTTTACCGTCCCATGTCCAGGTCTGGACCACTGGATTAGAAGGATTCTTCGCCAACTGACGGCAGAGAAATGCAAGTTTGTCGCGATATTTAGTAAGGTCTTCATTTACTGACACAGACTTCGTGGTAGGACACTCCCGAAATTTTTTACTTGATTTTAAAAGTGTACGTTTGGTTTCGTATGACCTTAGCCTCATAATAATCTGGCGAGGTCTGGACCTCGTTTTCGTGGGATTTCCAACACGATGCGACCTTTCAATATCATCAGCAGTTACAGGTATCCCGGCTTTTTCAATGACTTCAAGGACAAGAGCAGTGGTATTTTCGGATTGGGATTCGGGGATCCCAGAAATTCTTACCAGAGGCCTCCGGCTATATTGCTCTAAATCGTCCAGTTTAAGCCGGAGGTCTTGGTTTTCTAGCTTCACGGCGTCTAGCTCAGCCCTTAGTGGTGCTGTTTCCTTTTGTATGAGGCCAGATATTTCACTCACTACCATTTCTTTAACGGCCATAGCTATATCTCGTATGTTTTCCGGAGAGAGATTAACATTAAAGGCTTGAGTATTAGAGGAGTGGCCCAGAGGATACCCAGCAGTTTGAGGATAGAAGTTACCAGGAAGGACGTTTCCATGAGGAGTTGAGGGAGTCGATGTACCCATCGGAAGGTATAGGCCGGGTTGACTAGGGTACATAGGGTAATTGGGTGGGCTCTCTTCAGTAAGGGATCCCTGTCTGGCCTTTTTACTTTCAGGAAAAATTGGAGACGACGATGATGAAGAATTCAGAAGATGTTTATTGGAAGTTGAAGTAGTATTCATGATGGATTAACAAACGTCAAAGCATACAATATTTCAGGAACCGTTCATGCACACACTGGAAATGTAAACAAACAGGTGAGTACAGGTGTTTTACACGGCTGGGGTCAGCGAGTCTATACAGGTAAGACACAGTATATCGTGGTCAGCAGGCGTGACGGACACGAGCGTATACACGAGTATGTATGTAAAATAGTATGGCGATCTCAGGATACGATGCAATATTTGGACGAGCAATATCAGTAATTCATGTTAAATTTATAGGAGTCCAGCTATACGGATACATTCCATACTTATTATATTACCATAGTCCAGCTTATTTGGCCAATCAGCAGGCTGCAATAGTGTAGAATTCCACATTTCAGGCTGAGCGATGTTACTGGGTGTCACCAGTCCGAAGGCCGGTAACTCATCCAATGTTACATGTTAATAGCATGATTACAACAGTATCAGATCGAAAGACAAGTTGAGGAATATTTTGTGTGGATTTGTAGGGCATCAGTTAAAGGCAGAATACATGCATTCCACATATTTCATCTATCTCAACATACAGCTGTTGTCTGTACCATTTATGATATTATACAGTATGCCGTAATGAATAAATGGATATCACGTTTTGTCTAATATGACTAGATTACCATGTTTTCCTTACGTATCCTCAAGGTGTATCCATATAAACTATGTGTCTCGATATTTTTGTTATATGTTTAAAAAATCCTACTAGAATTGCTGGAACATCCATTCTTTGATTACAATAATATATATATATAAACTTTTCATGTTCAAATAAAATAAACCAAAATTAGTGGTTTTAAAGTTCCTTTAAACAAACTTTACAGTTAGTCTCCTATGTTTATAGAACATATTATAATTTGACTATTTGTGAAAACTAGTTAAGAAGGCTAGTTGGGTATCACTTAATGAACTAATTTCATTACTTTCACTCTAGATCTGTGGAGTTAGAGTTAATGGCTCCTTCACTCAAAGAAGGTATACGGTTAGAGTAAAATTCCATGTTAATGCATCATACAATATCAGTACCTGGTTCTCGATTTGTTGCTATGTAGGACACATACTTAATTATATTCATATTCCCATTTATAGGACCTCTCTCCTATAGTTTCTGGATATATCTTGTTGCGTGATGTCACGTGATCTATATAATTTACATATGTATGTATCCAAAATGTGATTTATGTACTCCTGTATAAATAATTATATATACTAACAATGTAACGGAATCTCAATAACAGAAAAACAAAAACTATCAAACGAGGGCAAAATATGAACAAAGGAAAGATAGACGAACCGATGAAAGTGTGGTGTTTCAGAGGGGGAAGCGTCTTCTGCTTTATTGACGACATGCGTCGTGTAAATCTTGACCAATCAAAATAAACGTTCACAAATGAAAACAATGTAAGCAACAACAGAATCACCAAGCGTATCATCAAACTCATCTAAACTCATATAGCACACGTGAATAGAACATATACCCGTTACCTATTATCCTGTAAATAGAGAAAGTGATCTTCAGTCAATTCATGTTGTTTGGCTTTACTCATCTCACCCAATGGAAAATAGGATCCCTTCAACTCCCCACTGAAGGTTTCCAAAGCATTCTTAGCCCTAGATTCCAGTTCAATGCGATCCTGCAAAGTGGATACATTTTGTTCTATTGTATAATATAGATAACGAATATGATAAATAGATACATTTTATTTTATAATATAAATAACAGATATGATGAATAGATAAATTTTGTTTTATTGTATAATATAAATAACGGATATGATAAATAAATACATTTTGTTTATTGTATAAATAACAGATATGATAAATAAATACATTTTGTTTATAATATAAATAACAGATATGATAAATAAATACATTTTGTTTATAATATAAATAACAGATATGATCAATAAATACATTTTGTTTTATTGTATAATATAAATAACAGATATGATAAATAAATACATTTTGTTTATAATATAAATAACAGATATGATCAATAAATACATTTTGTTTTATTGTATAATATAAATAACAGATATGATAAATAAATACATTTTGTTTATAATATAAATAACAGATATGATCAATAAATACATTTTGTTTTATTGTATAATATAAATAACAGATATGATAAATAAATACATTTTGTTTATAATATAAATAACAGATATGATCAATAAATACATTTTGTTTTATTGTATAATATAAATAACAGATATGATAAATAAATACATTTTGTTTATAATATAAATAACAGATATGATAAATAAATACATTTTGTTTTATTGTATAATATAAATAACAGATATGATAAATAAATACATTTTGTTTATAATATAAATAACAGATATGATAAATAAATACATTTTGTTTTATTGTATAATATAAATAACAGATATGATAAATAAATACATTTTGTTTATAATATAAATAACAGATATGATCAATAAATACATTTTGTTTTATTGTATAGTATAAATAACGGATATGATAAATAGATACATTTTATTGTATAGTATAAATAACGGATATGATAAATAGATACATTTTATTGTATAGTATAAATAACGGATATGATAAATAAATACATTTTATTGTATAATATAAATAACGGATTTGATAAATAGATACATTTTATTGTATAATATAAATAACAGATATGATAAATAGATATATTTTGTGTAATATAAATAACGGATTTGATAAATAGATACATTTTATTGTATAATATAAATAACAGATATGATAAATAGATATATTTTGTGTAATATAAATAACGGATTTGATAAATAGATACATTTTATTGTATAATATAAATAACAATTCCAATTTCAATACAATATAAAGAATAAAATGTATTTTGTGCTGTTGTCATATACACATTTTTTTAAGGTTTCATCTTTTCTCTGGCAACTTCAATGTTTTCACAGAGGCTGAGTGGACATTTGTACAAGTTTACCAGTATTGACATCTGCATTTTTTCTGTATGCCAATTTATATTTTCTTTAATGACTATTGATCAATCTAAACAAAATTGATAAAAATTATGACGATTTTCTTACCTTAAGTTTGGCAGTAGGATGAAAAGGGAAGCCCGCTTGTGAGCGCCCCACACGGACACGAGTGGAAGATATATACCTCTTTGAAGGATCGAGATCTCCGAACCCAAGATTGTTAATATCTCCAAAATCTGGGTTAGGATGACTGACCTGATCAACTTTATGGTAATCTTTAATGACCGGGTGGAATATTTCCGAGAACACATCGTATGCTTCAGGGTCAGAGGCATACATGCCACATCCGCTGTCAAGGTTGATACACCCTTTAAACGACAAATTGTCGTCATCAATTCATAGAAAATTATTAATTATTCATAAGAGTAATTATTGATTTTAAAATACAGCTGTATATCTTTAGTTAGAAACCCTTTCTTCACCTATTCGGTACAGTTTGCGACATATCTTGGTCGAGTGAACTTCACTTGTCAGTTTAGAAGCTGCTCAGAATACGTAGATCTGGTGCAATAATAAAATTCTTAAAATGTTTTACCCTGTCTGATTATATTTACATGCTTGTTCTCCTTATCTGAATTGTGTGTATGTATACATCTAGGGCAGCATACAATAGTATGCATTACCTCCTTTGATGCAGTCCAATAACGTTCCATTGTGAAAGGTAACCCTGTCTTTCAGCTGTCTAAAGATAAGTTCTGTCATGTTTCTCTTCAGAAATGAAGTCGATTTTGCATGTTTTAGTCTGTTCCAATGTTCCAATAAAGACGTGGTCGACATGTTGTTTCTGCGTAAAATAATAAATACCTAATAACACGAAACGACAAAATGTATGACAGCATTTACACACAAAAACAAAATACACTGCAGCATCGACACAAAACGACATAATGTATTACAGCATTTACACACAAATACAAAATACACTGCAGCACCGACACAAAACGACATAATGTATTACAGCATTAACACACAAAAACAAAATATACTGCAGCATCGACACAAAACTACGAAATGTAGTACAGCATTTACACACAAATACAAAATACACTGCAGCATCGACACAAAACGACGAAATGTAGTACAGCATTTACACACAAATACAAAATATACTGCAGCATCGACACAAAACGACGAAATGTAGTACAGCATTTACACACAAATACAAAATCATCATTAACATAAAACGTTGAAAAGATACAAGCCAGAACATCAATAAAGTTTTGAATTCAATAATAAGCGATAAAACGAGGTCAAAATGTGAGACAAAAAAGTCCTGCAGTAAAAAAGTACAAGGAGAATAAGGCCATGGGTTCTTCAGGCTTACACATCATCTGCTTCGTCCGTTATCCATCCTATCTATAAAGATCAATGCAAGCATGGCATGTCATGTTTTAAACTTAAATCTCAAAAAAAGTTCATTAAAAAACAAAATTTCATAGCTTCAAAATCATCGGGCATAGTATATCAGTATAGTAAACAGCTTACTTCATCTCGCACTAGGAAATACAATAAGTCCCAGGTCGGATACCACCTCATCAGTCATATAGGCAGAATTACTACAATTGTATATCACTAGATTTTAATTCTGCACATCTTGAAATGTATACATCAGTCTCCGACAACAAATAGGGTATTCTTGCTGAATTTTTTTGTATTTACTTTGCTCACTCATTTATTATAAACCATTAATTTACGACATTTATTATGGACCTCATCGTCTACACTTTGACAATTAGTTTGATGAATTTGTATATTATTGTTCGTCTCCTATCTTAAGTCCCTTAGCATCACTGACAAGTCCTAGAGGGACGAAAAATACCACAGGGTACAATTTCATTTTGCTGCATCTAATTCTAAATTCACACTGAAAGGTGATTTTAAGTCTTTTGTACAAACTATCATCGTGGTACTTTTAAAGACGTCACCGGTTTATGTGTAATTATAATACAACTTTCCACCAAGCTGTATAAGAGACGTTAAAATTTCTTTTTTTTTTACTATTAGGTATTTTTTCCATTTCTAAATAGTAAAAGCAATGGTTCCCGAATAAATGGTGATAACATGCCACAGCTGTTTTGATACCCGAGGGTTTTTTTCCCCAATGACACGATTTCCATACAGGATATAAGCAACTGACAGATAAATTCACAGGATTTTAAGAGCTGTACTTTGATGATATTTACATGGAAGTGTTATGGTCGACATAATGAAATATTTGGAAAATCCCGTTGTTATTTACCATGTAATTCTCATTTGAGAATGTGAAATTGGATTGACCACGGTGGCTGTCGTCGTTTAAACAGAAGCTGATAATTCCCTCAAAAAGCCTTGTCTTATTCTCCTATTTTCATCTTGTGATTTTCCAGTTGTAAAATCTTCCTTTTGTCTATAGCTTGCCAGCGTTACATCAAATTCAAATTGTGATGACATGTCGGTATTTTCTGTTTACTTTTAAAATCGTCAAATATCTTTTAAATGTCTCTCTCTCTCTCTCTCTCTCTCTCTCTCTCTCTCTCTCTCTCTCTCTCTCTCTCTCTCTCTCTCTCTCTCTCTCCCTCCCTCTTTCTCTCTCTCTCTGTCTCTCTGTGATAATATCAAAATATTACCTTTACGAATTATTCAATGGAGATGAAATCGGCTAAATCTACTACAGTAGCAGGTAATATAAACAGTTTTCTCCTTCTTTAAGTTGCGACTAATCAAGTATTGGAGAATTAATGATGGGTTGGTTTATATTACTTGCATTATAACCCTCATCGCATCCTGGCAAAAAATACCAAAACTTTATTGAATAGCTATTAGTTGGTGGAGAAATAAAATGATGAAATTTATTCTTAAATGTTTCAATAAACACGCAAGGATTTGACTTCGTGTAGCCTTTACAGAGAACCTGTTTTATTAGAAAATTCTGGTACAGAACATTGTCAAAAATAACAGCAGTATAGATCCTATAAAAAGTATCGGAACTTAGATTACTGACTTCTATAATTAACCTCTGTCCTACCACATGTAAAAACAATACTTTTCCATCCCTATTGATGCTATTCAATTATTTGATCTAATGTGCTACGTTTGCTAGAAGCCCAAACATGTCCGCATTTCCCGACTGATGAGCTTGTTTTTTGTAACCAGTCAACTGGATCGCAGTCAGGTAAAATTTTTGTATCGTGTCATATCATGTACATTTTTACAGGCAGGATCTACATTGTTCATCAATTTTTTCCCACGAGATATGTGCAATTGGTTTAGTTGGCGTTAGACATTTGAACAAAGATGTTAACAGTAGAATTACAGAAGACAAATATAATACCTAAAGCGAAGAGAAATGATGAATTTAGCTGCACCAAATAAGCTGCTTTAACATACCTGGATAACTTACTGACGGCGTAATAGTTATAATCACTGTATCACCACACTACTCTCGGTCGACCTCCTGACTGAAATACAAAAGGCGTCTATGCTTGGTGGAATATGTACAGTCACTGACGTTGCTGTAAACATTCGTCACGTGACAATTGCTTAGCCACCATTAAGAGAAGACTCAATTAACACAGATATTGTTGTATACATCTATATAACTGGTCAGGTAGTGTAAGATAATTGACTAGTTCCGGATATTTGACCCGGCCTCCGGATCCTTGTTTTCGTGTTTATATGTGTGTTGTTGTTTTCCGTAGAATAAGTTGGCGGTAAAGAGAAGACAGCGTGGTTTTCTAATCTGTGATGTATGGGTTTTATCGTGCCTCTCATAGCCAAGCAAACGGGTTTCCCCTGCACCCCCATAACATGGTGAAGAATTCCAGCCTTCATCTTGATGCTGAATCGGTTGAGTTTTTGTGTTGTTTTGAATATTGACTAATTACTCGCAAACATTCTATGATTCATACCATGTCGGAGACGGACGAATTCTTGAATGATGATTTCCTGAAACAAAATGAACTTAAACTTGTTGATGATGTTGATTATTGTGGAAACGGTGACTCTCCTGTAATGTTGCCGAGGGATCAGAGTTATTCTAAAGTACCTAAATCTAGAACTGATAGTGTTGGTCTAGCTGTAGACATTTCCAAATTACACAAGTTTGGAGGCCTTTGTCATGAAAACGGTGAACGTTTATAGTATGAAATCACAAAGTTTTTCACATGAATCTGTAGTGACGATTTACTTATGATCTTGTATGAAATGATTATGATTGCCAGCAATAGAATGTAACAATGTAATTCACTATGAGGTTATACAAATCCTGCGCAATTTGATTTCATTATGTGTTGCGGCCGAAACTGTGAGTGTAACTACTTAGTGCACAGGTGATTGTAAGAGATGTTTGTGGTAACATATATTCAATGTCTTATTGTCAGTTTTTGAAATTTTTCATTACATTACTATTATAACCTGGTTTGTCCTGTATGGAAAAAAAATCTGTCATTTATCCTGCAATGATCATGTTTATACACTCCGTTTCATAATAATATTGTGTCATGCTAGTGTGCATCATTTGATCTCTGGGAATAACATGTATACCTTGATCAATTTTCTTCATAAGGTTTATAATATGTCATTAATTGTATCTTTTTGCTGATAATGCTTTCCTATATCAAATTTCCTTTAATTCATGTATTCTAATTAGGATAGAATTCCATATATTGTGTTCCTTTATCGTACACTTGCTTACCAGTGTCTTCCAAAATTGCTTGCAATTTTTTTCCTGGGGGGCGGGGATGTTGTATACATCTATATAACTGGTCAGGTAGTGTAAGATAATTGACTAGTTCCGGATATTTGACCCGGCCTCCGGATCCTTGTTTTCGTGTTTATATGTGTGTTGTTGTTTTCCGTAGAATAAATTGGCGGTAAAGTGAAGACAGCGTGGTTTTCTAATCTGTGATGTATGGGTTTTATCGTGCCTCTCATAGCCAAGCAAACGGGTTTCCCCTGCACCCCCATAACAATATATCTGTGAACCAGATGTCGTCTAGAACTGCGTAACCTCTGGAATTTATGCAGATAAGGAGAGCAATTAACACCAAATAAGCTGCTTTAACATACCTTGATAACTTACTGACGGCGTAATAGTTATAATCCCTGTATCACCACACTACTCTCGGTCGACCTCCTGACTGAAATACAAAAGGCGTCTATGCTTGGTGGAATATGTACAGTCACTGACGTTGCTGTAAACATTCGTCACGTGACAATTGCTTAACCACCGTTAAGAGAAGACTCAATTAACACAGATATATCTGTGAACCAGATGTCGTCTAGAACTGCGTAACCTCTAGAATTTATGCAGATAAGGAGAGCAATTAACACAACAGATGATAGGAAAAAAACATCTGTTGTGTTTCACGTCTATGTTTTATATCAACATTGTCAGAAAAGGTAATTAAAAATAGCAAAAACACAATAAAAATGACAAAATGGAGTAAAACGAAATATGAAAATCAGCCATGATGCTCCAGAAGTGTGAGCGTCTTTTGTTTTGCCAACAACACTCGCTATAAAAATCTCGATCAATTCAACAAGCGTTTTCTAACCAGGATGATGAAAACAGAACTACAAGTCAGACTTCGCTTGCTAGTGTTTCTGTCTTTTGTATGAAGTTCCATTCACCACCACTAGATATGTATATCAATGCATGTTGTACAGCTCAAACTGAAAAATGCTTTCAAAATGTTGTGAATTACATCAGTAATTTTTGTTTGTTAAATTATAATGGCAATGTACAATCACTAGATTTACGAAATAAAACTGTATAATATTGGTAAATAACACATAAA